CTGACAGGGCAGCCTTCAATGCTACGCACGCAGGAAAGGTACGGCACGGTGCTAGCACACAGCACGACCTGAATACGGATGATATAAATTAAAATGAAAGCTGACATCTCATTTCAGCACAGACGTCCCATCTCAATGATATCCACTTAGAGATCTCAGTCAAATACACTTTGAGAACCAATTGACTTTTTAGGAACAAAAGTCAAGTTTACAACAAGGAACAATACACTTGGTCAAAGTAAAGCTTCACTGTGTTTCAATATAGAGTTTCAGAGCAAATTATTTGCTACTTGTGTACATACATAGCACTAATGGAAAAATAAGGGTAAAATAAACTTGCTACTTTTCTACCTATATAAACACATCATTCCCTTGACTTACAACACATATCAATACATGTTTCTTATTTCACATAAAAGTATACCTGAGGTATAAAAACAAAACAAAATTACTAGAGCATAGTAATTATTTTATATGAGATACACAACTGCATAAAGCAGCAGTAGCTACCAAAAAAAGAGGAAAAAAAAACCCCAAAAACACTCGATTTCTAAAAATAAAGTAATACCTTATATCAACTGGTTAAAAGAAGAAAGCATTCCTGTTTCTTGGCCAAATATCATCACAATAATAAAACTATGCCTAAGGACAATACACACTTAATAATGACGGTGCCCTGGGAGATTCACCTGTGTTGTGGATGGTTCTCCCAGACCCTCTCGTCTTTTACATAAAAATATATGGACAAAAGCCATAGTTATTGCCACAGATGGAATATTTTCACATACTTTTAGGTTCTTAGATATGTTTTAGATAGTTGAGGCAGCTAGAACTTTGATACACACTGAAATTATTTCTTTACATTCTCCTTTGGGTCAGGGAAGGAAGAATCTCGCCTCAATAAAATTTGAAACTTGGATTTATGTAAATAGTGGATTTGAAAAGTCTATTTATCTCCTCTTAAAATGGTAATTTTTTAAAAAAAGAGCCAATACAAAAGTAGATCATTTCCCAGTGCTGACAATTAAGACTGGTCTACACAAGTAAGCCTGGAAGGATTTTCCAGTGGCATCTGTAGCACTTTTACATCCACAAAAGAAGCCGCATTGTATAACTTCAGGCCATGCTTAGGTGCTTTCACTGAGAAATTAACAATAAAATTACATAAAAGCTGTCTGAAGCTTGTGGCAAGTAGGAATGAGAAGTTTCAACATTCCATCTGTACAATTGCTACTCTTATATCTCTGGCTTTAAAAAAAAATAAAAGTGAAATATTGCTCAAAGAATTACTTTGCCCATTTTCCTAAATTAGACAGAGCTATCTTCCTTTCGATAAGTGAATTAAAAAGCCAATTTTCCACTTAGCCTCTCCTACTACTTCAGCCTTTCCTTGCTAAGAACTTAGTAAAATAAAGTAAATGAAAGAAAAGTCAGGGGAAAGAATCAGCAGTCACAGTAAATATCAGAAACTCTATTTTTTACTGATACCCGGAGAAGTAACTTCATCTAACGCAGAGAAGTCGAGCGCTATCTGCCACTTGGAATGCGTTCTGGATACAAAGGGGATCACAGTTCCTCCAAAAAACTAAATGTTATGTTTTGACTACTTTAGAAAAGCTTTAACTTTGCTCATTAATGTGGAAACCATGAGGGCTTACCCTGTAAAGAGGATGGCACTTGTCCCTGAAGCAGGGAGTCAATCGGGCATAGATCTGTAGGCTGTAGTAGTAAGCTGCCAGCTGCAGACATAGCGCAGAGTGGGACTGCTTTTCAAAGCATCTGTTAGCATCTAACACCTAGGAGGGAGCATGACAGAATTAACTCAGCTGAAAGGAAGTTAGCAAGATCATTATGAACCATTACATTTCTAGTCATTACTGTGGAATTTTGGTACAGAGTTTCCATCCTTTCAACTCAAACTCAAGCTCAAGCTCAACTTAATATACTATATTAAAATTCAGAAGGCACTACAAAGACGGATCCTGTGGATGTAAAAGTAGATTTAAATTTAAGCTAACATTATAGAATTCACTCCTAGATACTGACCAGAGTCCTTTCGGCATCTAAGGACTATCAGAAGGAAATGATATATAATAAATAATTTTACCAATGAAAATCCCCAGCACAGATTTTTAGTGTATTCATTTTTAAGTTCTTCTTCAATGGTAAGGGCAAACTTACCTGTGGTAAGGCAAGGAGATAAGCCAAAGCCAAGGTCATGTCATTTGGCAAAGCATCACTTGCTAGTTGCAAGAGAACTGAATGTAGAAAAAAAACAAAACAAAAAACCCACACATTATTTTGCTTCAGGATGCACATGGCATTCACAGTTACTAAGTGACATATTTTTACCCTATATGATTTCAACAGATAGTTTCAAAAGACTCTTTAAGACCTTTTATGAAAGTCTATTCAGCACCATCTAAACAGAGATCACATGAAACTATGTGCTACTATGTTATATAGTAACATTTTCTTAACTTGGAAAAAGTATGCTGTTTGTCATACATGAGGAAATCCTGTTAGGGCGGCTGCAAAGTTAAGTGGAAAGACATCAATAAGGATGATTTCTGAAGGCTGGGTCTTTAAATTTTAAAGACGCAGACTGTGCTATGAAATTATGTATATCAACGATAGCTACTGTGGAAGGTGACCATATGATCAGAGCAATAAAATAGCTTCCTCAGAGCAAATGTAGAGTTACTACAATGATGATAACATGATTTTGTTCCTCCTGAGACTACTGCTCTTCATCACACTCCACAAAAATAAAATCCATCTCTTGCTTTGTTTACATGTTTTAAAATATCCCAGCCATTAAAAACTTCTTTTCCACAAAAATTTTTATTCGAGCAACAACCTGCCAATGCCAAAGCTTTAATATGAGAGTACCTTCCCAATAAGGTCTGTGTTTATATACAGTTCTTTTTAATAAGGATGTATTCTATTCATTTAGGGTCCTAGTGACAAATACTGAGTAGTCATATGTAATCACAATGCAAACCTTTAATTTTTTAAAAAAATACACTCTCATGATCTACACTAATGAGGGGGAACAGTATATGAATAACCCAAAGTAAATCATATTTGACTTCGCTAATGCACCATATGATTTTCTTCTAGGAGATTTACCTTCCTAATTATGCCTTACTTGGACTAATATTTAAGCCATTTGTATACTCTATGTTCACTTGATAGTCTGGGCAGTGGGGCTGTGGGAGAGTGAGGAGCAACCTACAAGTGAGTGAAGTGTCACAGGCTGACCCAGAACTCAAAATTTCCTGCAGATGATTCACAGAGTAAAAGATACTCAGCTTTCTCCACTGGGCCTCTGCAAAGAGAATACCTGTTCTCTAAATACTCATTTCCTATGTGGTCTCCGAACTTTATCCACCAAATGGACCACCAGTCAGCCTCCGGCCTCTGAACTCCCAGGCAATGGTACGGTTTCAGAGATGTTTTCTAATCAAAAGCTATTCATTTCAAGGCCCACTTCCAAATTCATTCCTTCATTCAACATCAATGAACTTTTTCTGAACCAGACAGTGCCCTAAGGTAAGAATCAGAGTCCCTGCCCTTTAGGAATAAACAGACGAGGGCAAGAGAAACTCTCTAAACAAATAATAATACAATGCAAAGGGCCCAAATTAAAGTTTACACAAACAATTATGAGAGCAAAAAAAAAAAAAAAGTTATAAAATTGGTGAATATACACTAGAAGACTACTAAAAATGGAAAGATGAAGGGCTTAAGCTGTAAATTTTGGACACCAGAAGATACAGCAAGAGAAAGTATGTAAGCTTAACCTGCCGAAAATTCTGACTATTTGAGAAAGATTTACTTAGAGTCTAGAAATTACATACTTTACAAACACACACATAGACATATACACAGGGCTGTCATTTTGACTTATGTCTGCCTTATACATTCTGCCATTCAGTATCTGCCTAATAGTCCTTCAGGACCCTTATTTTGAGGGGGAAAAAATCTGTTTAATATATTAATAATTCTTTTCTGTTACTTTCCTTTCTCATAGTCTTTAATAAGGCAACGTCAAGTAGTTTTTTCCACCCTCATTTTAATTTTCTTCTTATATTTCCCTCCTTTACATGCAAAAGAGGCCAATTTTCAAACAAGCCTATCTGAACCCACTCATCAAAATTAGCACTGTCTCCCTCAAAAGAGCCCCTCAGGACCCCTTTCTTCAGAAAGATGGCTGTTTCTCTAGCTATTGGAGGACCTTCCTTCTTGCAGTTGTGATTGGAGCCAATGTCAGACTCACCTGGAAAATTAAGTCGCATTATCGACTATCTTCTAGTCACAACTAACTTTTTTTATGACAAGGTCAATTCAATCTTTCACTTTATTTAATGTGCATTTGCCTGTATCCAAAGACCAAAGCACTCTCAAGGGATGAGGACATGCTACCACTGAAGATATTCTGAAGAACATGCTATATGCCTGAAGAAAACTTCAAAGCAAAAGCAACAAAAGCAAAAACCACCAAACAAAAAACAAAACCAACAAAAAAGAACATTGATGACATTATTGGAATGAAGGCATAGTCTCCAGGAGACATCTTAGAAGGAGAGAATCCTCATCTGAATTCATAAATTCCAGTAGGTTTATTTTTAAAACAGTTCATTATATCATAGATACAACTCAAAATATGGTCACTAAAATTTTTGAACATATGTAATTGAATACAAAGCTTATAATAGGCAAAAAAGAAAAGGAATATACAATTTTCATAGGCTCAAAGTAATAAAAAAAATCACCCTCAGAGAGCTGTCTAAAGGGTCATCATTGCTATTTTTACTAAGCAGTGAAAGTCATCACCCTAAAATACAAATTTTTGCTCCAAGTGAATAATATCTATTACACATAGACTTTACTTCGTAGATAAAACCGTATGGATCATGTTTATATTCTGTATTTTACCCCTGTTGTGACAGTGTAGGGGCTTTGCTAGTCCTGAGATTGCCCTACCCAGGTCTAGCTAATTCCTAGAGAGAGCAAACAACTTCCCTGTGAGTACACCTTTGACATACAAACCAACCAGTCCAGTGCCCGTACTTTGAACCACCTCCTCCATCTTGGCTTTACGCTCCAAGAGGCAATAGCCTCTGTCCTAATCACCCCACAGCCAGGAAAGAGACAATTTGGAGACCACCACTATATCCCAGAGCACACCAAAATTATCCATACTTCCAATCTTAAGCTTGCCCAAGCTTGCCTACCCTGCCTCGCCCATTCCTTCCGATGAAAACCTGAGACTTTTGCCCATGCTTTCCCTGGCTCCTTCTGCCCCTGGACCACCTGGGTGCTTCTCCACCTGTGGTGTGCCCTGCCCTGTTTCTAGGGATCTATGTGTATAAACTTCTTCCTTCATGACAATCATTTCCATGTCTGAGTCTTACCAATACCTGCATAAAATCAAAATCCCAGGTACATTTCAGAACAACAACTAAAACAAAATCTATAAATATGCAATGAATCTCTAGCCTACAACATTGGGCAGAATGACACAGAGGGAAGGAAACCATCTTCAGAACCAGAAAGTCCTGGAATCAAAGCTTAGCCGCCCTACTGATTTACTCCATAACTCTGAGTTTCAGAATTCAGAAGGTTTTGGACTTTAGAAGGTTATGATGGACACATACCATGTCTTACATGATACCCTCAGGATGGTCTGGGAGCACCCAATAATCAAAGACATTAACATTTCTGCTGCAAAACATTTGAATATTCATATTAAGTGAGATAAGCGAAGACTATAAGTAGCCTCATGTGACTGTAGTTCAGGCTTCGATGCCAAACAAGTCACAAAAAATCTTTTTGGTTTTCAAAGCATTTTAGATTTGAGGTCTGAGCATTATTTGCCTCCTGTGTAAATTAGGATTAATGAGGTAAAGTACACAAAGTGAACAGCATCTCTCTACCATAGAGAAAGCACCGAGTAGGTTCTCTTCCTCCCTCTATAAAATACGGGCTTGAGGGAGCAAATGATTTTCTTCCATTATGACATGTTTTGATTTCCCCCTAAAAATGATCAACAGGCTCTTTCATTAATAACTACCACAGTAGTAACAGAGACAATTAATTCCATTTTATAAAAATCATAACAAATTAACAACTACATTTAAACATGAAGACTAATTTCACTACGAAGCCACAGCAGACAACAGTCACACCTGACTATTGGAAACAATTCTGCTACCATATTTATTGTTGCTTTGCTGCTTCTCACTGAGCACTCAACAATCATTGGGATTAGTTACTTCTCACAACCTCTACGAAGAAGTTAACTGTTTTCCTCAATTTACAAAAGAGGATTTAGAGTCGCAGTTAGTCTCTTTTCTATTTGCCCTGTGCCAACACACAAGCGAATCACCTCAGTCCTGGGAAAACATATTCTTCCCTTGGCAACTCTCCATTCGGACTAACTCAATAGCCCCTTTGTTTTCACCGCCGAACTTCGTGAGTGAGTGGTCTGCACCTCTGCATCCACCACCTTGAAACCCCCTCTTTCTTCCAGTTCCTCCCACCCTGGGTCCCAACTCACACTGCCTCCACAGTTCAGCAAAGCCAATGGTCTTTCTCTCTGCTTTTTCTCTCGGATCCCACTGTGGCCCTAGACACTGCTAGATAGTCTCTCCTTTCGCTTCAGGGACCCCGAGTCTCCGCATCTGCTCCTCAAATGATCCTTCTCTGTCTGTGTGTCACCAGATCCTCTTCTTCCTCCTCGACTGCTCAATGTGGGTACTCGGTTAAGTTATTTCGTCATTATCTCTTAATCCCACTTTACATTTTGCCCCTTGAAGAACTCAATTATGTTCTTAATTTCAACTGGCATCTTAGTCTATTTTCCCCAGTATTTATCTCTAGGCTTGACCCATCTCACAAGACTTGCATCATCAACTGCCTGTTGGACATTGCCACTCAAATATTACCCCAAATGCGTCTTTCTTTACCCAATATCTTTTGTATTTCTGAAATAATATGCTATTCTCCCAATAAGCCAAACTTAAAACTCCAGAGTTATCTTGGACTTCATCCTCTCCTCTGCTGCCAACATTCAGGCCATCATCAAATCCTGCTGAATCATTTCCAAAGAACTTTTTCACATATGGTTTCTATTTTCACTGCCACGAACTCTAGTTTAGGCTTTCATTGTTAAAAAACTGGACTCTTTCAATAGCCTCCCAACTCTACGTAATACCTTCAGTCTTTCTACTTCTAATCATTTCATAGTTAT